TTCAGGTGCCTATAGCTTTAGTTGGTGAATCTGGCAACTTTGCTTCGTGGTTGTACATTGCAGCTGTGAAACTTAATGCCTTGGAAAAGATTGAGTTGGATCTTTCTGAGATGATTGAGGCAATGAAGACAAGCCCTACTTTTGCACAGTTCACTAAAGATCCTTCTGTTCCTAGAGAGACGAGGTTGGCTGCTATTATGGATCTTTGTGGTCAAGCAAAGTTTGCTGAACCAACCAAGAACTTCCTCTGTATGTAACGAGAGCTTGAAATCGTTCTTGTTTATGATTTTGGTTAACCGTGTTGTAGAGTTTTGATCAAAAAGTTGTTTGCTTTTCTAAAAACAGCTTTGTTAGCTGAGAATGGAAAGCTGAAGAACCTAGATGTGATTGTGAAGAAATTCTTGCAGCTGACAACAGCGCATAGAGGAGACATCAAAGTTTTGGTTACTACAGTCATGGTAAAGCTATAAGTTTCATACTGTTGTTATCTCTAAAGAAACCAGAACTCATTGTTGTGAATTTTAAACAATATATATTTGACCAAACAGCCGCTTCCCGCTGCTGAGGAGAAGGAACTGAAGGAGACTCTCCAGGAGATCATCGGAGAAGGGAAAAAAGTAACTGTGGAACAAAAGGTATGTATCATAACGCGATGGCCCATCACAATGCTTGTGATTCAAAACCGTTGAGGGGGAAACTAAGCATCAATGTCTGTTTGTTTTTGCAGATTGATCCGAGTATCTACGGTGGACTTATCGTAGAGTTTCAACAAAAGGTGTTGGACATGTCTATCAGGACTAGGGCTCAACAGATGGAGAGGCTACTCCGTGAACCTGTTGACATCAACAACCTCTGAAAATCTGAGAGATTCCCCAAGAAAACATGTTTGTGATGATGCAACCAATTGACAAATAAATATGACCCTCGTGGGAAACAATATATAGTCACTACTTGTCCTTTTTGAAATTTGTCATTTGCATTTTACATTTGTTGTTTGCTTCGAAATAAGCTTTTTCGAGACATCAAATTTTCAACTTTTGTTATTGGTTAAGATCTAAATTGTCAATTTGGTCAAATAGTTATGAGTCACGAGTGATGCAAACGGGGAGAGCCACGAAACAAATACAAGTACATTAAGGTGCCACGAAGATGCATAATTATCGAAGAGTGTATATACTTTCGATAAAACCAAATTTAGTTTT